TTGTGCTGTGATCCTCGTGAGACGGAGGCAACCATACAGCAGCCCTGGTCTGTCCCCAGGTCGAGCCCCGACCGCGTCCCCCTCACTGCCACCCAAACCCACTCACGTAATCAGAGCAGAGCCACTCTCACGGCTTCGTCTCCCTGGAGCTGTTCCTCCAGAAGAGGAGGGTGCCCTCTTCGCTTCGCTGTTTCCCCAAGACCCAAGAAAAGGAGATGAACTACTTTGGGCTCAAGGACTTTCAATTCCTAAAGAAAGCAGATTTACTGAACAAGAATCTGATGTCCTGTTTCTATTTTTTAGAATAGTAAACACAGTTAAAATTTAAAAACTTTATTTTTTGAATAGATAATACATGTAGATGGTACAAAATTCAAAAGGTACAAAAGGTACAGAGTGAAAAGTCCCCCCCAGCCCTCTTCCCGGAGGCACCCAAGGCTGTCAGGTTCCCGTGGATCCCTTCAGAGGCGCTCTATCTGTACACACGCACGTACGGACATGCACAGCCACAGGCATTTTTCTCCATCCCCTTCCATTTTTTTTTAGAAACAAACACTACTAAGCGAAGAGCCTCTTTTTCCCCACTTAACCATGCATCTTAGGGATCATTCCACGGCAGTACATACAGAGTGGCTTAATATTCCATTGTATGGATTTGCCACAATTTATTTAACCATTGCCCTGTGTTGGTGTAGTTTCCAACTTTTTACTATTGCAAATAATGCTGCAATGGAAATCCCTGTCTATAGGAAAAATCCTTAGAAGTAGCGTGGCTGGCCCGAAAGATTTGTGCGTTTGCACTTTTGATAGAAATTGTCTGACTACCCTCCACGGGGTTGTACTGTTCATACTTCTGTATCCAGAATGCTGTATCCCGGGGCTGCTTCCCACTTCTTGGTTGCATGTGGTTCAGTCATTTCAACCAGACAAGTTACCATCACGCAGGGTTTACTTTGAGCCAAAACAGACTCATGAGCTGATCACTGACAGTAATGTGCTTCCTTTCTTCCCCCTTCCCCCCATCTACATGGGGAGAAAATACTTCTGTAAAACATAATTCCTTTGAAAGGCCTGAAACCTCTGACACCTTTCTCATCCCAACCATCGAGGTTAGAGTGTAACAAAGACTCTGGGATCCTCCAAAGCTGCTGAATGAAATTGCCTCCTTGTTCTCAAGCTAAGCATAAAATAGATGAAAGGTCCAATCTAAACTTTGCTAATGCGGGGACGCACAGCTGCAGTTTGGAGAAGCTGTTTTATCCAGCCAGAATTTCCTGCTCATCCACTCCAGCCAGATGGTGAGGAGACGGCGGGGAACGATACAGGCGAGGTGCCTGCGTTTGCTGCTCTTACACACCAGAGGGGAGGGCAGGCAACACACGTCGCAAAAGACTACGTGAGAGTCCAACAGGGACGTGTGCCATTGAGACAGCGCAGGGGAGAGGGCAGTGTGTGGTCAGGGCTGCAGGCTGACACTGAGGGGTCTGTGTGAGCCGCGGGGGGGTCCGGGAAAGCCCTTGCCCACGATCTGGGAGGGAGGGCGGTCCAGGCAGAGGCAGAGCAGGTGTGAGCCCGGCACTTTTGAGGAACTGACGTAAGGCTGACGCGGAGAACCCGTCGTGGTCCCCACGCTGTCAAAGAGGCGGCAGACCAGACACTGAATCTCCCCTAATGTTTTTACATATTTATTGTGAGAACAGGGGAGACCATAACATTATTTTTTAGTAGCATTGTCAGCCTATCACCATGTGCTGTGAGAGGGAATGCTGTGGGCTGGCGGAAAAGGACCAAGAGAAGGCCTGGGGACTCTGAAGACGCATCACACAAGGCCCCTCTCCCGGCCAGCGCTCAGCCACCCGGACAGACAGCGGGCCCTCACCCTACGGGGGCTCTTCACCGTCCGGCTCTGCGGCAAGTCGTGCTTTCCTTGAGGCCAACACTGGCCATGAGCGACTCATAAAGCACCGCCTTCCTCAGAGTGTGTTCTAAGCCAGGGATCCCCGACCCCCGGGGTGGCACCGGTCCGAGGCCCGTCAGGAACCGGGCCGCACACAGGAGGCGAGCAGCGGCGGGCAGAGCTTCATCTGCTGCCCCCCTGTCGCTCGCATCACTGCTTGAACCACCCTCCCGCCGCCTTCTGTGGAAAAACTGTCTTCCACGAAACCGGGCCCTGGTGCCAAAAAGGCTGGGGACTGCCCACTAACTGCAGCTCAGGCTCCGCCTTGTAACCGTCAGCACGCGTTGCTAAAAGGCCCACTGCCCCCTCACACTGATCACCCGTCACCTGCAGAGAGGGCAACACAAGGCCACGCCGAGGCGACAGAGATCAGGGTGGCACAGGTGCGCAGGCCACAGCTGACGGCCCACGGTGCCCTCGGGCAGGGCTGCTTTGGTCACTCCAGACGCGATCGGGGCTGTCAACCTGACAGCCTGAGGCCTTCCCCGTCCCCTGCGCCCGGTTTCAGGAGGCCCGGAGCTGTGGGGTTCGTCAGCGAGCGGATCCTCAGCCTGGGAAAGGCCTCCTGTCTTCTGGCCCTGCTGCCGGCCCAGTGGACACCGGTAGGACCCGGCTCTCCACAGAACATGGGCAATGAACCCACCCCTAATTAAAACCATACCCTGCGGACTCTAAGAGAGCTCAGGCCTGACGAATTTGGGCTGTGCCCTCCCTGTTAAAAAGGGAGACGGGCCCCTGGCTTGTAACCTCAGCGCCTCCCTCGGGGGTGATTGGCTGAGCCCAGTGACCCAGGAGCCTGAATCCATGCCAAGGACAGCAACAAATATGTCCCCAGACGCCTCGTGATCGTCTAGCACGTCCCGCTCGCAGCAGCTCTGATTTCCGTTTAAACCGAAGCAGCCCCGTGTACTCCCTGAGGGGCAAGTGGGATGGAGGGGGAGCCCCAGCCCACAGGCTCCCCGAGAATCCCAGGGCACCTGCCGTCAGCAAGCTCACTGCTCTGACTGAGCAGGGACAACGGACCGCTCCCTGGGGAAACCCTGTTCCTCCCGAAGCACAGGTTTCCTAAAAGTAACTTATTTTTAGCTCCGGAAAAGCCTGTGGGCTTAGCAGAACAGCCAGCCGTACTCTGTGGGCACACAGAAGGACACAGCCCTGGGAGGGCCCCCCGAGGGGCTTCTGAAATGAAAAGGGCCTCGGGGCACCTCCTCAGCCTCTGAGGCCTAACCGTAAAGCACATTTTCTGTCCTCATTACTCACAAGGGCAGCATCCGCCCTGTGGCTTATCTGTGGCAAACAGAATTCTCAAGATGGACTTCTGTAGTTTAATTCAAAATGTGCTCAAGGAGCAGAAATTGATTTATTACCTGTCTTAGGCCTTGTAGATTAAAACATGGGAAAAGATATCTACTGATACCTCCCTACACCAAAACCAAACCGAACGAAACTCCTTAGAAACAGCCCGAAGTAAACGCCCCTACTTTTAGAAGAATTATGGCTGCTTCGGATAAGTCGTGCCCTACCTTCCCCAGTCATCTAGAAGAAGGACCACCACAGCCTCCGATATTACCTGTCCCTCTTCCTTACCACCTGTGGATAATACATGAATAATCTAATTGCTCAAAAGTTGTTAGTTAGGGAATGGGTCCACGAGCTTCTCAACACGATAACCAAGATGTTTCTCTGAACCCGAAATAGTTTCCAGTCAAACTGTCGTCTCCTTCCCCTGCCCTCGGAGCGCCACCTGCTCCTTGGCAGTCACTTGCTTCAACTTCATTGAGTCCTTTCAAAACCCACAAAGGACCAGGGCTCAGGGCAAGTGGAGAAGCGCATGGCCCAGGAACGGTGCCCTTATCACTCGGGCACCGGGAGTAGCCTTCTCACGGGGTGGGCCTCGCTGGGAGGACACAGAAGCCAAGGGCTGTTAGTCCAGCAAGAGACTGTTAAAGTCTGTACGCCATCAGCCCCGCTTAACGTATACATTAGGGAACTAAAAATGAGCACGGTGTCCCTGTGGCTGCACTGAGTGCCCTCTTTGCATGTTTGAGCTTTTATGTTTTATGGCCCAAACCTGCTGACTGGTACGTGTGCAAGGCTCGTGTGGAATGACGTGCAAGCCTCGTGCTGGGTTCACTGACCCCAAGCTGCCAGGTTCCCCAGGGCTGGGGCAGGAGAAGTTCTGTCTGGATGGACTGCTCCTTCCAGAGGAGAAACCTGAGCCCTCCACCTTCCCTTCAAGCCCCTACAAAGACAGGTCCCAGCCCACCTTTCCAGACTGGTCTCTAAAGCCTCCTGCAGAGACTGGCCGCTCACTCCTCTCCCCACGAGCACGCCTTGTACTCTCCCCACACCCTCTTATACTTTATCCAAAATGGCCTTCCCACCAATCTCTGCTATTAAATTGCTATTCCCCCTTCAGATCCAGCCCAGACCCAGCCTGCTCCACGAAGCCCTCTGGATCTCCGCACACCTCGCCGCTCTTCCTGCTGGGACGCCCTCTGGCACCTGCTCACGGCCGGTCCCTCCGCCACTTACACGTTGGCCTGGATGGCAGTGGCGGGAGAGCCCATCTCCAGGCCCAGCCCTGACCCGTGCAGAGCGGAGGGCATGTGATGTGCTCTTGGCGAGGGGGATGCACGGGACCACCCACAGGGTGGCTGGGACTCACAGGAGAACAGGGCGAGGTGAGGTGTCATCCTTACTTACATGTCCTCAAGCTGAGGCCCCTGCTTTCGATTTCTGGTGAGATGAACTTGAGCGGAGCGTGAGGGTGGAGCCAGGGCAGGTGCTGAGCTTTCTTTCTAGTTGCTACACCATCAAGCCTGCTGGCTGGCACCCGAGGGGATGGGAACAAAAGGCACCACGGGCAAGTGAAAGGCCCGAGTGAGCAACACTCACCTGGGCTGGTCATTCAGCTAAAAGCCTTGTTTGCTAAGAAAAAAAAAAAAACCCCAGTGGTCCAGCTCTGGGGCCACTCGCTGGGAGCCTGGCTGCTGGGTCTCTGCCACCCTGCTCTCGCCCTCAGTGCCTCCTTCTCAGCGGCTGCTCAATTAACATCACTTTATTCAGAGTCCAGACAAACATGGTACCTTCATATGCACAATGTCACTGGAGAAATAAGGGCTGAATCGACACAGAGAACAAATGCTGCCCACATTTCTTCAGCGGAGGACGGGTGTCATCCAAGCCACAGTGGTTGCCCCATCGGATTCCATCGACAACAGTGGAAGCAGACAGGAGAAAGGGAATATCCAGGGTGTCGAGATCATCACACCTGCATCTTTGCTGCAGCGTTCAGAACCATTTCACCATCTTGTAGTTGATACACGGCATTTAGAAAAAGACATCAATGACGTACGATGTCGCCTGGGAATTTTCAGGAGGCCTTGGCTTTCACCTTGGACAGCAGCACCTCGTTCTTGCGGCCCTCCTGGAGGGGAAGCAGAGAGAGAGAGCAGAGAGGTGGGGACCGCGTCGGCACCCGCATGAGGCTCGGACGGCCTCTGAATCCTTTCCCATCCCGCAGGGAGCCCTGTGGACCATGGACCAGCCTCCTTGCATGCTGCCACCATCATGGCGGAGCTTCCTGGCCACACGCTGACCTTCAAGGCCCCAACGGCTACAAAGAGGACTGGTTTCTGGACTGTGAGAATGAGGATAGGAGAGGATTAGGCACTGTCATTCCAAAAGACTTCAAGAAGCCTCTAAAATCCCAAGGGACAGAAGCAGAAAGCAGATACTTATGTGACCCCTCCAGTGAGGAAGGGGGAAAGTCCTCGGAGACCACGGCCTAAGGAGTTATAAGAGGCAGCCCCAGTCCACACAGCAGGCAGGGCACATAGAAAAGGTCTTACCCCGGCAAGAGTGAAGGTTAAGAACACCCTTGGCTTTACGAGAGAAACTCACAGAAGACAGAGGGAAAGAGACGTGTCACGGGACACCTCCCGCTCAAAGTGAGCTGAAGGAAACCCATCACTGTGTGTGCTGAGGGGTCACTGGGGCCTCCCCCGCGTGGGGAGTCTGGCGTCCAGGATGCAAGGCCACTGCTGCATCGTTTCCTATCCCCTTCTTCCAAAGCTTATCACTGTGTGTCCTCCTTCCCCCTTGTTCGTAGTGGCCTTGACATCTCAGGGTACCTCCATCTGCTAGCACACCATCTCCACACCTTCACCGGGCCACGTCACGAGGAGCCCTGTTTAGAGTGAGAGGTGAATGCGGCAAGGGGAAGGGCCTGGAGGGGTCGAGCCCGAGGGTGCAGGCCCGGCGTGTGGCTAGGCCTCCAGTTGCCATGCTTGGCTGGAGATCCACTTAGTGTGGAAGAAAAATTTTCTGTCACCCATGGCCCCTCTGCATCCAAGCCCCCTAAAGTCAATGTTTCCATCTCCCTGGGCCCGGCCAGGTGCTCCCACTTCTCTGGAGGCCCTTTGGTCTTTCTGGCTGCAAGGACCCTGGTTCACCTGTAGGGTTTCTGCGTATCTTCCACTCAGAGCTGGGGAGGCTCTGGGCTGGGTGGGGGTGAAGCTGAATTGTTCTGCCAGAAGCAAGATACTCTGACATGTTTTAAGCACGTGTTTTTGGAGGGGTAGCGAGTTAATTTTTCCTGGGGATGGGGAAAAAAAGAAGGTGAAATAAGTAACATGTGTTGTGTTAGAAAAGTTGAGAAGAAAGTTTTCTTATTTAAAAAGAGTTACTGAGATTTGCTTGGGCGAAAAACCTCCAGCCAAAAAAAAAAGGGGGGCGGAGAGGGAGGGGTAAAGACAGACCAAGACGGGCAGAGTCAGGCTATCATATTGTGACACTACTTTCTCTACTTCTGTGTGTTTTTCAAAATTTCCATAATAAAAAGATAAAACAATAAAACAGTGAATAAATAACTTTTGTTACCCACCTCACCTTCTGAATAGAGGAAAAAAAAAAAAAACCCTAAAAACCAAAACAAACAACTCGTAAGCATCAAAACACTGCTGTGGCAGAGTTCCACCCGGGGTGATTCTGGTCATCACACCACACTGAGATGATGCTGGAAGTTCTCAGTAAAAACATCCTTGGCTGTCACCTGGTGTGTGAGCACTGACTACCTTTCATGGAATCTCCTCGGAGCCTTTCGGGACTACAGAATGATACTGTCGGTCTGTTCAAAGCAAATACAGGAAGGGCCCTTTAGGTGTTTCTATCTATAAGAAAAGGGAAAATGTCTCCTCCCTCCTGCTTCTTTCCTGCTGAAGACGGTATGGGGCTCGCTAGGTGCCAGACACCCTGAGCTCCGGTCACCGGAGATTACGTGCCCAGAGCCAGCGTCATAAAGATGTATGGCTGGCATTCGTCAGAGCCAGGCTAGAATCGGAATCTTGGTTTGGTGACCTTGTGACAGACTGTGCTTTGGGAAACACAATCAGTTGGTGTAATGATGCAATTAAGGTGATTCCAGAGTATGTGTTTTTTCCTGGCGGACTTGTTATTAATAACAAGTCCAAGAACAAGCAAGCCAATGGGATTTTAGAGACAACCCGACGTTGCCAGTCAAAAAAGGCCTTGATCTCAGAGGAGGCTGGGTCAGGCACGGAGCCCATAGGCATCAAGGGGCTCAGTTAATATGGAGTCAACTAAACCATAAAGGGACGACGGCGGTGGTCAAAGGCCACGTTCTGGCTAACGCCCTGCTCTGCATGAAGAGCCATTACTGCCCAGGACGGTGCTGGGGACCAGGATGCAGTGAGAACTCAGCCCTGGTGAGCAGTAACCCAAGCAGGTCGAGGAGAGGCAAATAAAGGAGGCAGACAGAGGGTTCTGGGAGGAGAGTCCATCCTGGGATGACAGTCTGACTTTTCGAACTGTGTTTCTTCCACAGATGAGATCTTACCTGACACTGCAATACGTAAAAGAACAGAATTCCTCTACCTGGAGGAATGGGGTGGAAACTGGGGAGCAGCAGGCAAGCCTCAACACCTGTGATGGCCCCAAGTTACCTCAGAGGATCTTGAAAAAAAAATTAAGATTTGGGAATGCTAACCTGTGGTTAATTTTAAATTTTTGCCAAGTAAAATGATAAAAAAAAGGAATGCATACTGTCACTATCATTTTATAAGAGAGAGCAATTTTAACATCAAAAAACAAGGGGACATGCAATTTTTTAAAAAGGTGAGTCCTTTAAGTGAAATACACTTAGCTATCTGAGGAACATATATCACATTCCCCCTGCCCCCTTTCTTCCAACTTGTTTTGGACTGAAGAAAACTGAGGCCAGCACCTGGTCCAGTCTGGGGTCTTCTCGGGCTCTGAGGGACCCACCCTCAGTCTCTGACTGAGAGTAACTGTGCCGAAGAGGCGGGAACGTGGAAACCTCCAGCTTAACGCATCCGAGGGAACCTTCCCTTCGGAGCAGAGATCACCCCAAGCCTTCAGCCTGAGAGCCTGCAGTGCAACAGTGAGCTTTTCTATGTCACTTTTATTTGCTTTGATTCTGACAGCTTATACTTATCCTCCTCAGCTCATTTGCTTTCTGTTCCTGCTGTCAAAAGGGCGGTGCTGGCGTTCACGCAACGTGTGAAATGTAGTCCTCCTCTGGGCCTTTTCTCCTTGTGCGTTATTTGGGAACAAGGAGCTCAGATGGGGCGCAGCGGGTCCCTACTTGTTCCCTGTCAGCTCACTCACTGGCCCTTCAGCTCCAACTGCTGCCGGCCACAGGGGCCCCCGGACCCGGAGCACCTCGCCGGGCCACTCTGCCCAAGGCCAGGTCCTTCTCGTTGGAGAGAGGCCTTCCCCGACCACACCCTCTACATTAGTCCCCGCCAAGGCAATGGCTGGAAGTACTTCTTATTTGTTACTACTTGTTTATGAGGGTCTGTTTCCTAGCTTGCTATCTGTCTCCCCCAACACAATGCAAGCTCCCGGACACAGGGACCCAGTCTGTTTTACGACCTGATGTATCTATCCCAGGGCCGTGGCAGGAGCTGGAAGAAAGAACATTTATTGAAAGGACGAGAGAATCTGAAATGCTTACGGTTGTGGTTCTCAAAAGTTAAGTTACAAAAAAGGGAAGGAGAAGTAGAGAAGAAAAAGACAAGGAAGGGAGAGAGAAGAGCCTCAAAACAGGTAAGGACCAAATTACTGGTATGGACAGATTGTATTTTTTATTCCACTGACCACACCCCAGGATACAACTACCTTTAGCCGCCCCCTGTATTTTCAGCAATCTCTAAATTCACTAAAACCACATGGATTTACATTAGAAAGGGGGAAAAATTCCGGAAAATAAAGCTGATGAGACAGATCTTGGCAAGCAAAAGGATAAAGTCTCCTTTCTGGAAATTTTCTTAAAAGGGCACGTTTCCTTCTGGAATGATGGAGAATAATCCTGCCCAAATTCAGGGAGAAAAGACAGGGGCAAACAAAGTTCGCCTGCGTGTGTGGGTGTGACAGGTGCCAGACACAGACTAGATGCTCTCCTCTCTCGTCTGACCCAGCAGGGATGAAGTCCCTCCCCACCTGCACAGCTGGCGAGCGGCAGGATTTGAACCCAAGCCTGCCACACTCAAATTCACTCTCCTCCCATGTGGCTTCTCAAGGTCCCTCCCCAGTCTAAGACTGGGAGGAGGGGAAATGCTAGACCTGAACCCACACCAAACACTGTTTCCAAGTGGGCTGATGAGGCCATTTTACTTATGAGTTTAATGTGGTTACTGAGTGTTAGGAAATTGAAGTGACATTTCTTAGAATGTCCAGTTAGAGCCTCAAGATGGGCCACAGAACAACGCAGTCGTGACGCACGCTTCATTGTCACATCCACTGCCAACTTGCTATTTCCCATTTCAGACCAGTGGAAAAACAAAGCAATGCTCTGGTTTGCAAAGGCTCATCTGGGGGCGAACACAAATCTCGCCCAGCCTTACATGCCAGCCCAGCCCTCCTCTTACCTCCTTGAACTCTTTCACAGTCTTAAAGTACAGCCTCTGTTTTTCTAACAGCTCCAAGTACTGGTCGTTCAACTGGTCTCTTCTCATTTTGTTCTCTTGCTTCTTCTTCTCCATCTGTTGAAACATTTTGGGAAATGGTGATAAAAGGCATGTTCTGACCGAGGGCGGCTGGCAACGTCCAAAAGGCAACTATTACTAACATTTTCATGGATTTCCTTCCAGTAGTTTCCTTCTATGCATCATTTTTGAGGTTGGTTTATTTATTTGCATAATATTGCACAGAGACTCTATCATTTTTCAGCAATTCTCCTATCACTGGGCATTAACTGTTTCCTTTACAGTAAGCCCCCTATATACGAACCTTCAAGTTGTGAACTTTCAAAGATGAGAACGTGCGTTTGCGTGTCCAATCACGTAAGTTAGTTCACGCGTCCGGCGTACACTGTCATGTGTGTGCATCCTCTACAAGTGGTTGTGCTTTTGTGTACTTTACTGTACAGTACTGTATAGAATACAGTATCTTTATTTCAAGCCCAGGATGTCCGGAAGCAATTGTAAAAGCAGCAGTGATGTAGCTGGTACTGTACTGTACTTTTCAAGGTACTGTACTATAAGATTAAAAATGTTTTCTTTATTTTTTTGTGTTTGTTTTTTACGTATTATTTGTGTGAAAAGTATTATAAACCTATCACAGTACAGTACTGTATAACTGATTGTGTTAGTTGGGTACCTAGGCCGACTCTGTTGGACTTCAGAACAAATTGGACTTACGAATGTGCTCTCGGAACGGAATTCGTTCGTAGGGGACTTCCTGTCATGAGTCTTTGTGCGTGTGAATATAAACGATTTCACAAGAAACAGGTAGGCAGTACCCTCTTTATTCAGCAACTCTTCCATGGACACCCAGTCTATTACTTGCACTCACTGCTCGTCTGTTCCATGCACACCCTTCACCTGCCAGTTCCGGGGAAACCTGAGCTCTGGGGTACACACGCTCCCCTGCCACCTCTATCTGAGCGGGACCCATCATGACACCTAGATACGGAGGGCTGTGATTTTGTTTCCTTTAAATAAACACAACAAAAGACATCCATCCAAATGAGCATTGTTCTGCAGAGCAGACTTACTCCATTCAAGTGCCAGTCATTATTCAAACCCTACCTGGAACCCTTGTTGAGAACTGCTTTTGGAGTCAACAGAATGAATTCACTTAAAACAAACAGTTCTTGGGTGCCTGCTACAGATCAGGTGCTGTTGTCAGCCACCAGCAGGACAGACACGAGAGGAGAGAGCCCACCCTGCCCTGGCACCTGACCATGCTTCTGGTGCCCGGCCACCTCGCGGGCGGGACGGGCACAAGGGCTGCCTCCTTCGCTGGCCAGCACTGAGGTGCCTTCGCCATGAAGCCTGGGGGAGGATGGAGAGAATGAAGGGGTCGGGCCCATTTCTCTCCCCAAGAATGCATCCGATAGTCATCAAAGGGGAAGCCAAAGGGGAAAAAACCCCAGTAACTTCCTGTTGTTCTTTACTATGAGCAAAAGCATCTCCCTGAGGACAAGTATGGCAGCTGGAAAGGTCCCCGCACTGAGGTTGGGTTGTTATAGGCCTGTGGTTGGCCAGGCTCTCTGCCCCCCACTTCCCTCGCGCCCCAGATCATCAAGAAGGGACTCCACTCCCTCCTGCAAGAGAGCCTGTCCGCCCTGGGTAAGGATCCACGCACGTGGACAGGTGCTGCCTCATCTTTGCCCTCATTTTTGAGGTTGAATAGTCTTGTCACCAGTGACACATTTTTTTCTTTTTTTTGCTCTTTTGACATGATTTTACTGACGTGCTTAATAGGAAGATGAATATTTTGCTACAGGGAAAGGGGGTATGGTGAGCTTTTGCCCGCAGTTCATCTCTGGTGAGATGGGATTACAGGCAGCTTGAATGAGTGGATTTTTAGGACAGGTCCTACAGGCAATCCTTCCTTTCATGTGTTTACACTCTGGTTGCCCTCATCAGACCACTTTGCCCCAGGATTGTGAGAGGAGATGCCCTAAGTCCCCAGAAGGTTTCACTGCCGTGCCCGAGGACCAGGTGTGTGATACGTTTTAAAAACACGACCAAAAGCAAGAGACATTGGAAGCACTAGTTAGGATTTGTCTGGCTATGGTAGTGGGAGGCTGTGGCTGCGTGCCCGGCTTTCAGACCATCAGCAAGTCTTCTTTCCTATCGACAAAGTGTGCCCGTGCAGAGCCACAGAGCGTGGAAATCCCCACGCTGCGCCCCGTCTGGATGATTCTCTGCAAAGCTATCTCTGGAGCACCCACACCCCTCTTCAGTTCCTCTCTTTTCTCTTCTGACTTCTGAGGCTCAATATCCTCTCACTTTAGCAGAGTTCAGCAATTACTTGCACTTTTTACAGGGGGTTCCTGGAAACTAAAATGCTCTTAAGCTGCTAAGGAATGAATCCCTAACGGTAGAATGTCAGGAACCAAAGAGCCAGTGAGGATGTGTTTCTGGGCAAGAGAGAAGGCCTGCTGGTGAAAGTTACCTCATCTGTGAAGTGGGGGGAACCCCACTCACTTAAGAGGGCTTTAGGAGGATTAGCACAGTGCTTGCCACATGGCAGGTGTTCCGTCCACAGAGCTGTTGCTAAGAGCAGCCTCTGAACGACCAGTGCGGGCAGCCCGTGGAGCTAGCCTGCCCACTGCAGGGTCAGAGGCCTGGTGGGACCCCTTGCAGAGACACTGAAGATGTGTCTTCAGAATCGAGAGCACGTTCCCAGGACAAACAGAAGAGGCCTGCTTTCCCCAGGGCCTTCTCCATCATCAGTGTGAAACCCTGGCCGCATTACAGAAAGGAAACCATCTGACCTTCATTCGACTTTGCTTAATTCCTTCTACGATCTGTTCCATCTGACGTAAAAACTGGTCCCGGGAAGCAGGGGAGGCCATGGCTCTGAAAGAAAGACCAGCAGAGGTATGACCAGCAAACAGGACTCTCAGAAAAGGGGAGGCACCGAGGGGTCAGCCCTGTACCCGGATAATGCCCCAAGAGGCAAGCAGGCATTTGCAAGGCAGGATGGACCCGTGGGGCCCCCGAGATTCCAGGCAGCCAAAGATTCTAAACTCTGAGGAAGGCATGAACATTAGCTTGGTCTTGTAACTGAATAGTAATCTTTTTTTCCCACTCTCCCTATAGTTTTCTTACTAATACATATTTTCTTAAATAAAATAAAACGTGACTAAAATTAACAATTTTTTTTTTTAAATTCTGAACGATGGCAGGTTCTGCTTAAGAAATGAATTTCATTTAGTTTTTAAAAATCTGCAGATTTAGAGGCACTGTTCGAGACTGAGAGACATTTTCTGAGATTTTCCTAAAACCAGGCTGGGAAACCTGGTCCTGTTTCCAGGAATAGCAGCTAAAGAAGCGATGCCCTAAAACTTGCCCCTTCACCTCCAGTTCTGCAGAGGAAATGACACCAGAAGGATCAGAGCACACGGATACAAGAATGAGAATTCTTCCAAAGGACAGGCTGAGAGAAAGCAGAATTGGCCACAAAAACACTCAAACCTCAGCTTCTCTCAATGATCAGGGGATAAAGATGAAGGAACCATTTTCAGAAATGTCACAAGGTTGTTAAGTCACTAACTGAATCTGAATATTAAATGGGGCTGTGAGGATTTTTGTTTGTTTTTAGTTAGAAATGAAACTTAAAGTCTACAACTTGTTATCCATTAAGATCTTAGTTGCTGGTCACCTGCCAGGGGACAGCAGAGACCTGTGCTGGAAGGAGAGGAAGCCTGATGGACGGAGAGCCAGCCTGGGGCTGCCCGGATGGCGGGCAGGCCAATGGCCATGCTTGAGGGCTGGTAATGATTTGGCTACAGATGGGCCTTGCCATCCAACTTTTGGAGAACATTATTTATACCTGAACAAAGTAGTTTAGAGTATGCACATGACTTAAAAGCCAAAATCTACCACAGATTTGAAAAGTATTTTAAAAAATCATATAGATTATTTCATTATTTAAATTTTATCTTATTTTATTTTTTGGCCACGCCACACGGCTTGTGGGATCTTAGTTCCCCGACCAGGGACTGAAGATGGGCCCTCAGCAGTGAAAGCACAGGGTCCTAACCACTGGACCGCCAGGGAATTGCCTCGTTATCTAAATTTTAAAGCATCTCTATGTGCTCAAAAACAAATGTTATTAATCTCATCCTAGCAGGACAAAAGTAATCTATGAAGAAATCATAGTAGTTAGGCACAGTCAAATTATTTGAAAGTTCACCTTTTCCCTAAGCTACTCCTTGGTGTGTTTTAAAATTCACTGTATCGTTAAGTTTTTGCAAGAACTCAAGCTCTGCGTAAACCAAGGCACGTCCGCACGTAGCAGCAGGGGTGAAAGCGTAAGTAAGAATCCCATCCTGAGCGCTGGGCCTTGCTCGATCGGGCAGAGGCGAGCCAACAAAAGCGCAGGGCACACAAGCCACCGATGGGAGGAGGGCTGAGAGCACTTACTGTGAGAAGTTCTCATGAACTGAGTTCAGCAGGCTAATCTGGGGAGGAAAGAAGAACAAAAACACAAAGCAAAGGCTGACAGACGCCTGTGCTGACCCCAGCCACCGCAAGCTTGCCACGTGTCTCTGGAGGCTGCTTCTGAGATGAACACACCTTGTTCGCACAGATGCAAGTAACATGAAAAGAAAGAGCAACGTGTTCTCACCTCCAGAGTTCCCCCAGAGCGTCTGTCTACCTTCCCACAGCCATGACCACAGGAATGACGGAACCCAACACCCAGCTGGGAAGCCTAAGCCAACATTAGGGCTCTTAGGGCTGTACCACAGCCCTTTCGATCTCACCAAACACTGCCCTTTATTTTCAGGGCCATCAGCTCAGCAGAGGGTCAGTGGGCGTGGAGGGTGAGAACACCGTGGCCGTTCTACTCCTTCCCACAAAGTCTCTGCCAATGCGGCCAGCTGCCGGGCGGCCCTAAGAGCCTCCACGGGGGTGCGCCCTTCAAGGCCCCTGTCCCCTAGAAACGCCATAGCCCGCACCTAGGACTCTCTACCTGTCCTGGCGATCATCCAGGGCAGGCCTGTGAGTCTGGAGTCTAGAAACCTAGGTCCTCTTTCTGGTTCTGTCACTGACTTGGCTTGTGAGCTCAGGACTGAGCATTTACTATACTTGGGCTCAGGGTCACATTCTGTAAAAGGGAGGTGATATTCTTGTCCTTATGACTCCACAGGCATGTTGAAAGCTAAAATATCACAGGTATAAATAGACCTGAGATAAAATGTACAGTTTATCCAAATGCAAACTTCTAACCGCATTAGTATGGCTTGGAATTTAAATAGCCCCACCCCCCTGCATACTCCTCGTTCTTAAAAGAATGCAACAACTTTAAACACTGCTGATGAAGGAAGGTCAGTGGGCTTCGAGGCTTCCTCAGGAGGGGCTGCCCGTCTTCCCTCACCAGGCAGGAAGAACCCAAGGCCAGGGTGTGCAGCAGAGCTACCCCCAGGGCTGACGTAAATCCCCCAAACGCGTTTATCAGATGCCTGTTCTGTGCCCATTACTGTGTACGGCCCTGGATACCGAGAAAACAGAACCCAACCCCTCCTCGAGGAGTGCATCTCGGAGGAGAGACATCGATCTGGTTTGACTGACAATAGGCGGTCAAGGACAGTACTCACTGATGCCTCCATTTGCGTCCAGGTAAAAGACACGTCTGTAATACTGTTCCTAGTAGACTGGTAATTAGTGCAGGTTGCAGGATGATGATAAAATAAAAATAGGTTCTGTCACCCTCAAGGGGAGGGGGAGGCAGGAGCTAATACGTATCACCACATACGAGGGACTTCACAGGCACTGCCTCGGTCTGTCTCCGTCACTGCAGTTCTCCCCGTTTTACAGGTGAGGAAGATAAAGCCGCACTAAAACCCAAACCCCTGTGAGTCCAGGGTGCCTGCTGCCGCCACCACACCGTGCTGCCGCTGGGAAGACAGCGCTGCTTTTTCCTAAACACAGCTGCATACCTGCCCCAATCGTCTGCCTTCCATCGAGGGCCCTGACCACCAGCGGATCTGCCCTGGAGGGGCTGCCCTGGTCACCCCTTCCACTCCCGCTTTCGTTCTCACAGTTCTTTTAGTTCACGCCTCTGTCTGCCGCGGATGATTAAACCGCCCTTTCCCCCTGACAACCCTGACAGCCCCCCCTCCCCATTTCCTTTAGCTGGCTCTTTCCTTCCCCTAAAACTCACACTAAAGTCTCAGCAGCTGCAGGCCCTCCTCCGTTTGCACCTCTCGAGCTTCCAGGATGTTTCTTTTTATGACGTCGTCGCTCGCGAGGCGCCATACAACTGCTGCCCACCCTGCACCGTGGGCACTTTCTGACCCTGTAGTCGGCGCTGGGCACACGACAGGTGCTCTTCCCACTTCAGCCGAAGGCATCCCGACAGCAGGTTCGTGCAAACTTCCCGGGCGGACAGCACAGGTAGCTGCTCACCTGATTATGTTTCTTCTTTCTATAAAGGCTCTTACCTCTTTTTCCAAATAAACCTTCTTGTCATCCAGGGTGTTATACAAAGTGAAAAACTGCTTGGTTTCTTTGTGCACTGCTGAGACTGCAAATGCAAAGCAACCAGCAGGTGAGTGAGGAAACGTATCAAAACAATCCCGGGTACCCTCTCCCCGCGGAGGTGCTGCAGGACTCGGACCTGCCAGTGCCGTCTGTGCGGAAGCCCCACGGGGCACAAAGGCCGGTGTAGGGCTGCCGCAGGCCGACGGCATGTGCGTGGCAGCCGAGACGGGCCCGCCGACACGAGGAGCCAGCGGAAGCTCCCTGTCGGCGTGCGGGACGCGGGTTTCTCCGAAGTCCTCCAGGTGAGGGGTCCCGGGAGGAAGGCAGAGGGATGAAGCGGCCCCATGCCAGCTCTTCCTGTCTGTGTGGCTCCCTCCCTTCCCACGCTCCTCAGGGGCAGGAGCCACAGCCGGCTCGCTTTTGTAAACCCCGTGCTTAGGGAGAAAGATTTAACTTAAGGCAGAAACTATTTTCTGCTGAGAAACTGCGTTGACACCTGCCCCTGATCATGAGTCAAACGTGAGGACCGCATAAAACGTCAGGGTGGTGGGGTAAGACGTGAAAGGAAGCGTGCGTCTGGACGCATGTTCTGAGCAGGGACAGTGCTCCGGCTTGAACCAGGAAGGATGGTTGAGACGCCAACGTCTCAAGGGAAAATCTGGGGTATATTCTGAAAGAAGACTTGGAGTTTTCCAAGTGGGAACTGTAGGGCACTGGCCTCCTGGGCCTGGGACCAGCTCACAGGGGTGAGGGGCACAGGGACTGCAGGGGGGCCAGGTGGCCCAGACGAGGCAGGAGTTAGGATTCTGAAGACTGTCCATCCAGTTAGGGGGAGCTACTAAATATCAAGGCTTTTAAAGTAAGAGTGTAAAATGATCAAATTTTGTGTGAGAAAGATCCCTCAGGCAGGAGTGCAGACAAGGGGTTAGACTCTGGGCAGTGATGAGAAGGTGGCTACAGCAGAGAAGACAGGGGTCTAACTTGGCTTGACAGCGATCCCAGTGGCCGAGGGGAAAGATGGAGGGGGAGGCAAATTCAGTCTTATATGTGTTGAGTTTGAGGTACCCAGGACACAAGCAAGAGTGGGAGCCTAAGGAAGGGGTGATGGTCCAGGATCTGTTTACAGAGGATGTGAGCTGGGCCTTGAAGGATTTTGTCTAGCAAGAGTGAAGAAGGGGTCCCAGGCACAGGTTAACAGGAGTCAAGGCCTAGGATGTCAAAGTGCATGATGTAGTCAGAGGCAGCGTGTGCACTGAGGAGGGCAGAGTGGGGACTGCAGGCAGGAATCGGGACCTTCAGGCAGGCCACCTAGACTGGGGAGGGTCCTGGGCAGAATAAGGAGAGAGGCTTTCTTCAGTGGGTCTAGGAAGCGCCTGAGGATTTGTCACTGGAGAGAAGTGATATGACTGGATGGGTGGATGACAGACTCAGAAGGGGCTGCAGACCAGCTAAGGCTCACTGGGCTGAGCTATGATGCCAGGGAGAACAGATATGGCAGCAGTGCTGGGAAGAGAAAGGCAATGACAGCTCTGAGTGTCACTCTGAGCCTGACGAGATGTGCTCACTGATTTAGGCTGAGGGAGACCCAGTCCTGCATCCCTGGGTGAACGTGATGCTGTTAAAGGCAAGGACCACACGAGCAAGAAGGTCTGCAGAGGAGAAGAACAATGAGCGAAGGCTGATCTAGAGATGCCGGGGTCGCGAGGTTCCGTGTGACGCTGGAAAGTGGAGCGCGATGACTGACAGGGATGAGGGTGGGCTAGAGGCATCACTCTAAGAGCTCAATCAGCTTAAGCTATCTGTCCAGGGAGAGGGCAGTCAGAGCTCCATGGTGTTTCTCTTGGGCTTCTGGGCTATGTGAAGTGAGTGGGCCTGACGATGAGCTGGGGGCCTCCCCAGGGGTGGCTTTCATGGACGGTGCCACCACGCTGAAGTGGGACAGAACTCCGCGCCTCCTGCCCTCCCACCCCCCACCGCCGCAGAGTCAGCCTCGGGAGCTTGTGTGTGGTCGATGCACCTACTCTGGCGGTAGAGTTCGATAAATCTCTTCTGATACTGTATTAGCTCGGCTCTGCTGGGCACTTCGTCAATCCTGCGATGCAAAATTGCTATTTCTCGGTTTCTTCGAGCCTAGATGCAAAAGGGGAGGGGGAGACAACACTGTTTGGTGAAAGGCCTTACGTGTCCTCTGGGGAGGCAAAACACTGCCGCCACCCACCCTGTGCCCACACCCACCCTGGAAGGCAGGCACCCGACGCGGCTGCGGCCTGAGGTACGCGTCTCAGACCCTGACTCCCCCGGCAACACAGGGCGAAGGCGTCAAAATAATGGATCGGAGGGAGGATTCTGAACAGGAGGGCATGTGTGGATGGTGCCCCCGGCCAGCCCACCAGGCCCCCAAGGACTCCAGAGCAGCTGATTCCCAGCGTCAGGCAGGGACCAGGAAACAGAAGTGCTTCCCAGATGACAAGGGATGCTGCCCTGCTGCCTCCATGCACATCCCAAATCCCTTAGCGTGTTTGAAAAGCTCCTACAGTTTCCTCCTAAAGCAGCTTTCTGGCACTTTCCCCCTCCTGTGAAACGAACTGGGCTCTTCTAGCTGAACTGCTCCAGGTGCATCTGGGGAGGCAGGGCTGTGCGTGGCGCAGGGGAGACCTCGGGCTCCGAGGTGGGCGGCTTCCCCAAGGGGCAGCGCTGAAGAGGGCCACCCAGCTCCCACCACAGGTTCACGGTCTCAGCGCTGCCCTTCTGCTGTGCCTCTCTGTCCTCCCCTTCTCTGGCCCACTTTATCACAGTGGCAGACGGGGACCTCTAATTCATTAGGACGCAAAAACCCCTCCAGGCGCAAAATCCACTATCAACTGTCGTGATCAAACCAAAATAGTGCCTGCTGCTCTGGCTCTGGCTCCTATACTTTCTCAGGAATCTAAAGATAAAATCATTCACTCTTTTCACTGTATCTTTAACCTCTCCTTTTCTACTGGCTTCTTCTCATCGGCATTTAAATATGTTCAAGTCCCTCATCCTTAGAAAGGCCCTTCCTTAAACCCTGATCATCTTTCAGCTTTCATCTTTCTCCTCCCTTTAATAGCACAACTTCCCGAAAGCAACGTACCCCAGTGCCTCTGACCCCTCCGCTCCCCTCGGTCACCCTTCAACCCACTGCCGCGGGCTGCTCCCAACACCCACTGGCACCGCTCTCGCCAAGGTCACCACAGACCTTCTCTCTGCACCTATGGAGATTCTCAGCTTCCAGCTTTCCTGACTTCTGGCAACACTGACCCTTTTCTCCCCTGAGCTCTCTGTTCAGCTGCCACGAGACCTTGGGCTCCTGTCTTCCTTGGGCCTCTGGCTGCCTGCTTGGTCTCAACCCTCATTGGTAGAATCCTTCTTTCCCTCTTCTCAGCCTGTATTTTCACATCCTAGGTTACCACCTATACAGCGCTGACCCCCAGATCTCCAGCCCAGACTATTCCTACTGGGGTGAGTACCCTGACCTTTAAAAGCCCTAAACAGGTCTCATTAACACTTCTATTCACACTCCCATCCCCTTCAGCCCTATCCTTTCTCCTTTAGGCTTTTGCTCAATGAATAACACAAGGATCCACACTATTGCCCAAGTCAGAGATTCCCCCACCATCCTCGACTCCACTTTTCCTCTAACCCATCCCCAGTTCCATGGATAAAGCTGCTCAGCCTCTCACCTGCCAGTTTATTTCTGTCCATTTTCACTGACCCAGCCCTGGCTCAGGCTTCAGCAGGCTTAGGGTTCTACTGCACCTTCCCTCTAGCCAGTATGTGTGACTGACCCCCAGGTCTCCAGCCTGTAGTATGCAATTCGCATATAAGCCCCCTTGTACTTTGATGTATATGGACATATCTTGGTTCTCAAACAGCCAGCCGGCTCCCAGAAGATAGAGCATCCCGTTTACTATTCCTGGGATCTAATGCAACACTGAATACATAGTAAGCACACAGTCAAAAAGTTTCCAAGTATGCAGATGTCCTGTCCCGATTTTATTTAATTCTGTGTCTCTTTAAGATTGGTACAGTGTCCTTGTATCAGGACAAATTTGACTCCGGAATTTAGCCCAACAACTCAGCAAAATAAGCACGGGCCAGAGAAAGGAGAAAGAGGGTCCCATTGGCCCCTGCGGCCCCTTGGCCGCTCCCCCCCAGAACCTGGCCTTCCTTTCCCAGAGAACAGAGAGAAGGCCCGGGCCAAAGTGCAACACAAGTTAACTCTTGGCTTTTGAACGTGCATGAGCCAGAATCCGGCAACGTAAAAGATTCTATAACGTAATTTTGATCTATGTGAATTTAGAGCCAACTTTAAAACTCCCCATATTTGATGGCCTTCTCACAAACCCCTAAGGTTATCAACTAAGACAGCTAAAGTGGGCACTTAATTTTAGGGGAAAGGTACTAGACAAGAACACATATTTTTAAATCTACCTTATCCTCCCCCCCCCCCACTTTTTTTTAAACAGCTATGAGATATAATTCACAGGCCATACATTTCACCCAAAGTATACAATTCAATGGTTTTTAGTATACTCACAGAGTCGTACGACCATCACCACTACCTAAAATTGCAGAACTTTTTCATCACCCCAAAAGAAACCCGTACCAATCAGCAGTCACTCCCATGTCTCCCGACCCCTTACCCCCACCATTAGGCAGCATTAATGCACTTTCTGTCTCTACAGATTTGCCTCTTCTGGACATTTTAACAATTTTTTGTAGTTTGCAGAGTACAAGTTTTACAATTCTTTTGTTAAATATATTCCTAAGTATTCTTTTCTACTGTAAATAAAATTTTCTTAATTAAAAAAACAAAAAAGGGCTTCCCTGGTGGCGCAGTGGTTGAGAGTCCGCCTGCCGATGCAGGGGACACGGGTTCGTGCCCCGGTCCGGGAAGATACCACATGCTGCGGAGCGGCTGGGCCCGTGAGTCATGGCCGCTGAGCCTGAGCGTCCGGAGCTTGTGCTCCGCAACGGGAGAGGCCACAACAGTGAGAGGCCCGCGTACCGCAAAAAAAAAAAAAAAAAAGTACTGGACAAGAACATTAGACCTCTAACCTTCGCTCTGGCACTTACCAGCTGCTTGTACTTCACAGATGTGAGTCAATTTGTTCACATAGAAGATGAGGCTAATAGCTACTTTCCACCCACCTCAAATCAAACGAGACGATGGTGAAACAACATACCAATGTGAGGTGTTATAACCAACATAATCCGCTGAGTTACACTCCAGATAGGAGAGCGAACAGCAGCTTTCCCGAGCCTCTCCAGCTCTTAGATGCTGAGGCTTTCTACCTCTGCTATAGGCACGCAAGCCTAGTTAGAGGCATTTACTGGCTCTTGTTTTCACTCACCTGTAGTAAACGGATCTTGTAAAGCTTCTCCTTCTCCATATTGTACCGTCTGTCTAGGTCTTCCTGAAATTGGAAAGAAACACAATTATCTGGGAAGAGGAAATTTTCATGTTTTGATGAAATCTTTTGAAGTTGGACAGTTTTTATATATCTCCCTCATCCTGAGGCTCCAAATTCCTTTTTTCAAATGGCCGAGTTCAGGGTCGGGTCCTAAGTCCCGGGAGACCCTTGACACTCTTTCACATCACTTTATGACAACTCTTCCTTCTTCCGGGACCCAGGCTGCATCCAGGGTTCTTAAGTGAAGTATCCCTCAAGTCCATGTGCCCTTTCCTCCCGCACCAAAAAAGATCCACGAGGAGGAGAAGACAACCGTGACTTAAAGAGCCTGTCGGTTCTGTGTCTCTGTGTTTGGAGGTGATGGTGGCTTGCTTCCTACGTTTCTATTTAGACCTGCACTATCCAATACGATAGCCACCAGCCACAAGCGGCTATTTAAATTTACGTTAACTAAAACTTAAAAATATTCAGTTTCTCAACTTCCCTAGCCACGTTTCAAGTGTTCAGTAGCCACATGCAGCTAGTGGCTACCACACTGGACAGCAGAGACAGAGAACATTTCCACCACTGCAGAAAGGCCCTTTGGACAGAGTTGAATTAAAAGAGAGAAACTAGCCCCTCGCTGAACCCAATGGGGTAAAAGACATGGCTGGATGGTTTGCTGAACTGGGGAAAGCTACAGTAGTGTCAGAGGTGCCCCTTCCCCACTGTGTGTGTACACACACACACACACACACACACACAACCAGCTCCTCCGTGGGGCTCAGCTGCAGGCAAACCTCAACAGCCTTCACCATGGGAGGCCAGAGGCTCACTCTCTAGGAGCCTCTGAGGGCACGAAGGGAAGAGAAACCCTAAAGGAGGAGAATGTTAGAGGCTTTCCTGTTTCTCTCTTCCTTCTCTTCTTCCTTTTCTATTCCTTTCTCCTAGAAGCACCTGTTTAACTCAGAACAGGGGTCCGCAAACTACGGCCCAGCAGCTAAATCCCACAGCCCTTGGGTCAATTTCGCCTCTATGCCTAGTTTTGTAAATAAAGTTTTACTGGAATGTAGCCATGTCCTTTCACTTATCTATAGACTACCACGACCACGGTGGAGCTGGCTCACAAAGGTGACAATATTTACTACCCAGCCCTTTACAGGCTGCTGACCCTGGAACGCAGTCCCCCAAGAGAGAGCTCTCTCCCTGTGCACTGCTCGCCCCTCGGAGCCTGGGCTGTGACGGGCATGTGTGGACCACGCAGGCCTGTCCCCTTCCCGGCTCAGATGCCAGGGTGGGGACAGCATGCCTTGTGCCAGGTGCCGGCCGTCAGGGCCGTTCCCGTGAGGTCCTGCTCCATCCACGGGGCGGATGCACGAGATGGAGCCACGCCCTGAGAGCCTGAAGACAAGGAGGTGGCCGCAGACAGGACGAAAAGACGCGTGAGAAGCTGCCACACCGTGAGAAGCTGCCACACCCGCAGAGGACAGCGGCGGTCCTGAGAATGAGCAGGTACTTACGTTGTGCGTCATGGCAGGGGTTAGGGCACCGTGCTGCTCTCCCCCAGAGAGGGTCTGCAATAAGGAAAAAGAAAAAAAAAAAGAAAAACAATGCTTCTGAGGAAAGGGATGGGACAGAGAAGCTGAGGGTCCAGATGTGGGGGGGGATGGGCAGACCACGTCTGAACAGGGCGCAGCCTGCACACGAGCCCCAGATTTTAAATTGTTCTTACATACCTGTCAGCCACACACTAACAAGCTAAACTCTGTCTTTGAATGTGAGTCAATCCCTCTAACAAGGTGTGACTGCTAAGAAGAGAAATGCCATCCTGAAAGTCTGTGATTTGTGCAAACCCAGAGGCTGCGGAGCTCATGTGAGCCTCCGAGCTCAAAGTCTCAGAAACAACTGGAAAGGCTGGATGTGGGTGGGTGGTCCCAGGACACCACCCACTGCACGGCCACACTCTGCTATCCCCGTGCCAGTCTTCACGGCTGTGGCTGGAGTGGCACAACCCATCATGACAGGGAGGTGGCACCTCTGAGGCCCATCTCCCCGCAGCCCCGGTGGAAAGCATCTGGACTCATGCTGGCTGCTTGGACAAGTCCCCTCCCTTCTCTGAGCCCCAAGTTCCCCATTTCCCCAAGAGAGAGGGTGCAGTCGATGAGGTCCAAAGCCACAACCAGCTCTCACATCTTAAGCACAGGGAGCCTCAGCAAATAAGCCTTGAATAGAGTGTGAGAAGGGACGAACCACAGCGATCCCTACAATCTAATTTGGTGAGAGAAACAGACTTATTTTTCTGTCCTTGTCCACACTAGCTCCTTGGAAGGTCAAGGCGTCTGTTCCGAGAGCCAGTGGGCCGTGTTCCTGAGCCCGGGATGCTCCCGGGCTGCCAGAGCTCTGACCTCACATCCCGTGCTGCTCTCTGCTGCCTTCCTGTGTCCCCGGGCAGGAGTGCAGGGTGAAATGAGCAAACTGGCACAGAATTTACAGGCAAATGGGACGAGTGGGAACAGAGCTCAGGGGGCTCCTGCAAACACCCTGTCCCTAACAGAGGGGGCAGCCGGGCTTGTGACCCGTTAATTCTTATCTGGAGTTGCTGCTGGCCACACCTATGGGTGCTTTAACCCACAGAAGGAAGACAAAGGACAGGGACAAATATCGAAGAAAACTATTTGAGAAATGTGTGTTCAGAGGACCAGGCTGAGGGAAGTCTGGTCTTTTTCGGCACCAGACTCTGCGCTGTTGAGTCCTCTAGAAATCCTTTCACGGTGGAAGTCACACAGCCCCAGCAGACTGGAGCAGTTCTCCACAGCCCGTACCTTTTCATCTCTGCCTGGAGCCCTCTCAGCCTTCAGGTTTTCAATTTCCTGCTGCAGCCGGGCCATCTCCTCCTTTAAAAGTAACATGAACATTTGTAAGATTTGGACAGGCTAGTAATTGGAGGTAATTATTTACCTTGATCTAGAGTCTTTTTTTCACTTTTCGTGAGTTCACGTGGAGTCAGAAAGTCCATTAGGCAGTAGCTCCCCAGACCCCTCCCTGATTTTCAGCCTGGGAAGGTTAACTCAGGAGGATACAGGCAGCTGTACCTCAGTCAGAAGGGGCCTTTCTTCCTAAAGGGCAGGCGAGGCTCGCAGTAACCCCTGGGACACAGAATGAATGAGTGGCTTAGAGCCCAGTCCAAGCCGCCTTCTTGGTGCCGACCCTTCTCCACCTTTCCTGGGACCTTGCGGCCCGGAGCCCTGCCTCACCAAGGCACTCCTCCCCTGCCACACGGCCCTGCGCAAGTCAGACCAGCTTCCGGATGGCTCTGGCGCTACTGGACCACGAGGTCTCACGTGGCAGATCACGCAACACACAGACACGCCAGGTTTTCAGGGCGGCCCTGGTCTCCTAAGATGCTATGCCTTTCGCACTTTGTAAGACTTTTCTTTTCAGTACATTTGGAAATTAGAAAATATCGTTTGTTAGACTGTGCTCTCGGTCTGGGGGTCTGGCACACCCAAGTCACTTGCGGGGTCCTCAGAGGGCACCTACCATAGTCCTCTACTCCTCTCACACACTGCCACGTACCCGCCTGGTGAGCCTGTTTTTCCGACCGCACCTGGACAGGACTCTCGGCAACGCAAGAGAGGGAGAGCAGGAGGTTTTACAAGAATCTTGTTTAACGTCTGCCGACACCAAGCCACACTTACTCGACAATGTGCTTTAAACTCCTGTTCCTGACTTTTCAGATTTTCATTCATGGCTACGAGGGCTCTCAAGTTCTGCAGGATGCTGAAAAGAAAAGACCAAAAAATGACTGACTTGAAACAAACTATTATGATTTTATGAATCACGGGGAAAACCGAGACCCCAGATAAAAAGGGATTTCTTTCTTAATTTCCTTGTCTCTCCCAAGAGTGTCTAATGGGCTTCCCACAAATGGTTATGACTACCCTTTAAATGACATTATTATTCATTTATAAGCTGAGTCCATCAGGCCACATCCAAACAAACACTACAGAATTCAGCATTAAAATGTCAGCTGCAGAAACAACAAGGAGTTTCAAGATTACTGTATATTTTTAATGATACTGATTACTTAACAGACTCAGAGCACAGACAGTATCGTAATTTTAATTCCTATTTTTCATTTCCCTTCTGAAAGGAAACGAGTTTTAAGGTCATTAAAAGCACTAATTTGAAATTTAAAATGTCAAGTGTCTAATAGTACTTTGCTCCACTTCATGAAAAGAGGGTTTCTAATCATAAAGCCAAGTAATCTGTAGGTACTTCTTGGCTAAAAATGTCCACCAAACCCAGAACTGCTCCATCTGTGCCTGAAGCATGTATTACGTCATGATTTCACTCAAGTGAGTGACACTTGGGAGATTTCACCACCCACACAGTTTGGTGCTGAAACGGTCAAATGTGAGTGATTATATTTAATTTAAATGGTCTAAATACAATTGATTGAAAAATAAAACAAAACACAAAAACCCAGCAGCTGTGTCTTGGTCAAAAAAGACTGTACCTTCACTCCCAAAGGACAGGGCTAAAATGTGTGCTGGTAACCATGGTTGACGCTAAGGGAGGGGGGCAAGGGCGGGAGGAGACGTTTCGGCTCACGTCCTTTTGAACCTTGAATGTATTACTTAGTTTTTAAAAACAGAAAAACAAAACACAAACTGAGCTGTTCCTGACCCCAGGGGGAACTGGGGGGCGGGGAAGAGGAGGCTAACTCAGAACCCCCTGGGCAACAGGCACGGCCCAGATCAGCGGTGAAGTAACTGAGCGGCATGGGGCCAGCAGCAATGACCCCCAGCTCCTCAGCCCGGTGCTCAAACCACCAGAGAGCTTCACGGAGAAAACAAGCACATGCTGAAACCTCTTACCTTGGATCAGCTTTGGCTTCTACCTTCTCAAGGGCGGCCTGTTCCTTGTCCAGTTTCTCACCATAATTCTTGAGCTGCGGGAGACAAGGAGGCACGTTGTGGGGACAGGAGATGTCCTCTCCTTCCCGGCTCACACCTGCACCCCTTTCCTGACAGCCCACTGGATTTGGCTGTATGTTGAGAAAATAGGTGGACGAGAGGAAGACGATGGGGGTGGAGGGACAGCATGGAAAGGTCAAAACCAGACCCTTCTTGACACATTCTGTTGGTAAATGAGACCTTAAAGGCAATACCTTTAAATCACAGCAGCAAATGGGTGGAAAGCCAAAAGTAACGCTGACAGCAGGTGTCTTTCAGTAGGAAGAGGTAAGTAACAACAGTGGCTGTGAGAGACAGACCTGGGTTTCAATTTCAGGATACCACTATCATGGCTGCTTGACAGGGGCAGGGTTAAATCTCCCATCTTGAAAAATTCCACTTTCTCTTTCTGAGTCAGACAGTTGGGGGATTTTAAAAAAGAAATTTTAAAGAAATTCAGATTTTAATTTTTAAGGTGTGCAGATCTATCCCACAATAGAATACTAAGCTGCTATTAAAAAAAGAAAGAATAAACAGCTCTTTTATGATGATCTCTAACATCTATTGTTGGTTGAAGAAAACAACATATAAAACCATGATTCCAATGTGCTTCCAATGTGTGTAAAGGAATGTACATGTCGGATGTACACAGGTATAAAAGAACCTACATGTTATTTGTACATGCATGAACATTTTCTGAAAAGATTCACAAGAAACTGGTTACCCTCTGGAGAGAGTAGCTGTTTGCTTGGGTTACAGGGGGACACCCTTCATACTTCTTGAATTTTGAACCATGTGAATGGGTTACCCATTAAAAAAAAACAAGTTAAAGAAGTTCTACGAGTTCCAGCTGAAAATGGAAGACCAAACACAAGCCGCAGCAAAGCTCCTCTTGCCTCAAGTCCAGGCGATTCTGCTGGATCACAGGAGGTGGGTACCTCGGGGACAAGGAAGATGGCAGCAGACAGGAAGGGCCTGTGGAGGACTGCCGTGTGGACCCAGAGGACGCAGGAAGGCCTGGGGTGCAGGGCTGGGGTCTGTATCAGGACGAGCCAGCGGGCTACGCAGTGAAGCCTGGCTCCCTTAACCCAAGGGCTGGCGCAAGGGTCCCAGAGGCAGGGCAGCCCCCAGAGAGCTGGCAACACTCGGCAGCAGAGACAGTGCCCCAGCCCCAAACATCAGGTACCACCGGCTGATCCCACCAAATAGTGGGACCCAACCTTCCAGAATAGTCACTGCACCAAATGGACACAGAACCCATACAGTTGGTCACAGAAAGTTTCAGAATCAACAGTAAGCACGCCATGAAGAATTATCAAACGTTTGAAGAAAGATATAACCATAAAAAATGTTTCAATTCAACAAATGAATTCTGATCTGAAGGAATAGTTTATAGATCAAGAAAAACTTCAGACACAGTCAATGCCCTCAGAGAGGCAGGAGAGGATCCTGCACATTAAAAACAGAATTAACCTCTCACGTACAAAATCAAAGCTGTGATTGCTGAAATTGAAAGCGCACAGGCTAGAACCTGGGGGCCTCCGCTAACGCAGGGGCCTGCGGCAGCCCCCATCCCCCGGCCACACGTCAGGGCTCCCATCTGTCCTCTGCCTTCCGTGCTCTGCTTCACTTTGCCTAAGTTTACTGGGAAGGCAGATCTTCCCTGTTTTCCAGTGCTACTAGGTTATCCTGCAAGGCAGGTTTTGCTGAAAAGGTAAAACCTGGGCACACTGGCATGAAAGGGCTCAGAGTGCTCATTCTGCCCAGTCCTTGCCTTGAACAGATGAGAAGACTGAGGCCCAAAGGCAAAGCTCATTACTGATTCAGGTTCACAGTGTTCAGGATTCTGACCAAATCTGTCTTCTCTATAAGCTGTTCAGCACTAGGTTTTGGAGAGCCTCCCGTTTTTCTAGATGGGAATTAGTTTGACTGCCCTCCTGGACAGCAAGCTCGCTAAGAGGTCAGTGGTGCCGGACTGTTAGCAGTGGAATCTGAACGGCCCCTCTGCTTTAGTTTCTCCAGCTGCAGAACAGGGATATCAACAGTGTGTTGCCAGGGTTGTTATGAAGATTCAATGACTAATACAAATGATGTGCCCAGAGCACACCCAGCACACTGTAATGTTAGCTGTTACTATTACGTGAGGACAGGAAGACTATCTCCTACTATTGACTTAACTCATACCTTCCACCTTTCTAGCACATGTACAGGGTTCAAAAAATATTTGACTTAGTGTTTAATACCAAAAGTGACTTGATAACCATTCTGGATTTATATCCTAAGACAGTTAAGTGTTTAGGGAAATTGATATCAAGATGTTTTGCCTTTAATCTCTTCCAGATTGTTATAGAAAGATGGATCCATGACTTGGCAAACTTCAAGCCAGGGACTGTGTAGCATGAAAAGTAGGACAGCTGCAGGGATTCCACCCCAGGAGTTTGCCATCTAATCCAGAAGGAATGGAGTCACAGAACAGTGTAAAGAAAGCTGATGTGTCCAAATGCAACACAGGCACCTTTAGAAAGAATTTTTAAAAAATTCCTCTAATTGTCATCTTGCGTCTGCCCTTTTCAAACATTCTGACAATAACTGAAGCCACCAGTCCAGGTCAGAATTACAAAGCTTTGTCAGGTTTATAGCAAAGCAGTGAACTAAGTGCTGCATACTGCTGGATAAGTGACAATTTTAAATGGGCAAATTTCATGCGAAATTAAAAAAAAAAAAAAAAGGGACTGCCTTGGCTTCAGAGATGCCTTTGAAGGCCAGTCCCGCTTCCACATGGTCCAGAAAGCACTAGGTGGGGCCCTCGCAGCGAGGCCCTTGTAAAGTACAGCTGTAGCCCGAGCACGAAAATCACAATGGGGAGAGCTCTTCAGACCTAGGTGAGGATTCGCTTTCCGTGGAAAGAGGGACAGAAGTAAAAAGAACTAAATTCCTCGCATGACAGAGCTAGTACCACAAATGTTTGTTTTCCTCGCCTGGCTTCTGAGGCAGTCGCCAGTGGGAGGTAAGTATGCTGTGATGCTGATGGAGGACCGCACGGTCGCCATCTGGGTCAGGACACGGACCACAGGGTCAAACAGACCCACAGCCCCTCTTCCATTCCGCCTAGGAGATCACCGGCAATTGTGAACAACGAATTATACCCTCTGTAGTCGTGTCATCTCACAAAAAGAAACCTCCTCTCTCTCATGGAATCCAGTGTTCTGGAGCAGAGGCCCTTTGCCGTGAATGACCCACCGTGTTCTTCAACGTGGCCGCCCTGCCTGTCTGTCAGGCCCACTGTCCTCAGGAAGCTTCCCGGACCCTTGCAGCCCACGGCGACCTCTCCCACCCAGACTCTGATCGTTTAGAACATGGCAGTGTGGATAAACTTATGGCTCGAGTCATGCGCTACCATGTGATTGTCCTTTGTCCCCAGATGGACCTGAGCCCTGAGAAGGGGATGGTGACCCCTCCACACGGACTGATGATGCAGGCATCCCATCAGTGCTGCAGGTCAAACGATTACCAACAAGACCCATGGAGGAAGGAAACCTGCTCACCTCTGTCAGTGTTTTCTTTTTTTCCTCATATCTGGCTTGTAGGTTGGTACGACTTGCCTGCAGCTGTAAACGAAAGATAAAAGACATCTGTTCTCATTTGAGCCTCACAATGGCACAGATTTGGGAGGTATCCACATTTCACAGATGAGAAAATGGAAGCTCAGAAAGATTTAAACTAAACAAATATGGACGTTTTTGACTCAATTAGCACCAACTACATGTCAGGTGATATACTAGGTTTTCTGCGTAAATCCTAACAGTGAATCCTTACTACATTCAATGGACGAAGACATTACCCTTATTTAACATAGGAGGAAATAAAGACTCAGAGGGGTTAAGTTACTTTACTAAAGTTTCGTAGCTGATAACTGATAAGGACTGGGTTCAAATTCAGGTCTGACTTCTTTGTATGGCTACAATCACTTCAGTTAACGAACAGAGAGATGGAAGGAGGAGTAAAAGGAGGAGAAGGAATAAAGAACATGGTCCACGTATCCCGTTCACAGGATACAAACTGCATTGCTACACTCAGGAATCTACCATAGAATTTGACTGGATGGCAAACAATGCCAGATAGAAGAAAGGATTCAGGACTTCAACATGAGGAGAAAGAAAACGAACTACCTTTACTGCTCCAAGTTATACAATCGTAAACTTACATCTCAAAAATGTCATTTCCCTTTTCCTTACAAAAAAGGTATATCTCGTGCTGTCTATGAACTTAGATATCTGAAAACATTCCATTCAAAGCTCAAAGCGTTTGTACATTTCTACTTTTGAAAAGGGGATGTGGTAGAAAACCACAGTTAGACTCATCAGACACTTTGGTTGTTACCGGTGTACAAATTAACAATGAGAAATTGTATTTTGTATCTCAACGATTATTTCAAAATAACTCAGCCCATTAAAAAAAAATATTTATTTATTTATTTATTGGCTGTGCCGTGTGGCTTGGGAGATCTTAGTTCCCCGAACCAGGAATTGAACCCGGGCCCCAGCAGTGAGAGCATGGAGTCCTAACCATTGGACCACCAGGGAATTCCCAACTCAGTCCATCTTTGAACCTGTAAGCAACCTATTAAGAATTATGTCACCTTCAAAAATCATTGCTCTTGGGCTTCCCTGGTGGCGCGGTGGTTGAGAGTCCACCTGCCGATGCAGGGGACACGGGTTCGTGCCCCGGTCCGGGAAGATCCCACATGCCGCGGAGCGGCTGGGCCCGTGAGCCATGGCCGCTAAGCCTGCGCGTCCGGAGCCTGGGCTGCACAACAGGAGAGGCCACAACAGTGAGAGGCCCGCGTACCGCAAAAAAAAAAAAAAAAAAAATCATTACTCTTAAACTGTGCTTCTAGTTACCAGTCTCCACAACTGATGAATTTCCAGCCAGGCCACTCAGGAAGTCACCTCAAGCAGAGGGCAGGAGAGAGAGAGGAGGGAAGCAGGGGGCTCTGGCTTCTTGCTTTTCAAAGTGTGCCAGCTGTGCAATGAGGACTGTTATTAACCTGTCTGTGTCACTAGTAGATGAGGGCATTTCTGGAGAAAGTTTGTTTTTCTCTTGAAATTCTAATGACTTAACTCTTGAAGCACCAGGAAGAGTTCCTGCTATTTTCGTACCTGCTTCACCCACCTTCCTGCCCCCCTCTCTCCCCTGCACCCACCCACCCATCTGACATTTACCCAAGGCTCTGCTCAGATGAGGTGTGCAGTGGAAGGCAAAGAGCACGGCACAGTCCTTTCCCTCAAGGAGCCGAACCAGTAAACTGGGGATTAAAGTATAAGAAGAGCTGGGCCAGAGATGGGCCCCGGGGAGGCCAAGGAAAGAGTCCGCTTGCTCATGAAGGAAGGAGTCACCGACAAAGACACACGGGCGCTGGATCCTGACAGGGAAGACACCTCTTCTCTTTAACTAATCACAGATCTGCCCAGCTTTTCTCTAACAGGGGCTGTCCCAATAGCTTAGCTAAGTTTTTGTCTTGCTGGAGTCCTCCGTGATTCTCCCATCTCCACCTTCTTCTTCATCATTAACCCCGAGACTTACCCCCCAAACTTCAGCTGCTGGTTAACACTTCTTTCTGGATTCCTCTTTCTTCAACCTCAGGTTTCTTGTCCGCTATCTACTAGCTGCCTTCCTGCTCTCTGCCTCTGGCAGCATATTCCCCTACTGGACCATGTTCTTTATTCCTCCTCCTTCTTTTACTCCTCCTCCCATCTCTCTGTTGGGCTAAGGCTCTCTCTGTGGTTCTCAACACCAAGGCCGCAGGAGAATCCTGGTCACTTTCTACCCTCATGGCCTTGTAGGAGAGGTTCTTGGATTTAAAGAGTTTGGATTTTCTCATATACTATTGGTAGAAGTATCAATTAGTAAAACAATTGGTGAATAATTTGACAGTTTCTAGAAAAACTGAAAATGCATATTTTTTTGATCCAGCAATTCCACTTCTTAAAATCCGTTTTACAGAAATATTTACATATTTGCACAAAGATGACTGTACAAAGACGTGCATGGTAGCATAAGTTTACAACTGGGAAAAAATCCCTGGGGAAGAAACCTCATAAATAGAGGACAGGTGAAATAAACTACAGCACATATATACTGTGTACATATACTACGTTCTTTCATCAGAAAGAATGAGGTAGATCTATAGGTTCCAGTCTTGGTTCCACTGCTAATAAGCTGTGTGACCACAGGCAAAACTGCTTCACTTCTGTGTCTCAGGTTCTTCATTTGTAAAATGAGGGTAATAATAGTACCCCCTTCACAAGGATGTTGTGTGAACTGAATGAGTTAATTTTTTAATTAATTAATTAATTAATTAATTTTTGGCTACGGTGGACCTTTGTTTCTGTGCATGGGCTTTCTCTAGTTGCGGTGAGAGGGGGCTACTCTTTGTTCCTGTGCACGGGCTTCTCATTGCGGTGGTTTCTCTTGCTGCGGAGCACGGGCTCTAGGCATGCAGCCTTCAGTAGCTGCGGTGCGCGGGCTCAGCAGTTGTGGCCTTAGGGCTCTAGAGCACAGGCTCAGCAGTTGTGGCGCACGGGCTTAGTTGCTCCGCGGCATGTGGGATCTTCCCGGACCAGGGCTCCAACCTGTGTCCCCTGCATTGGCAGGCGGATCATTAACCACTGTGCCACCAGGGAAGTCCCTGAATGAGTTAATTTTGAAAAGCACTTTGTAATTACTCTAAAAGAAAGTCCTTATTAGACATTACTATTACTGACAGAGATATCTGTGATAAAATAAGTGAAAAACAAACTCAATTTTTATAACCAGACAACCCCCTCTCCCCAGGTGAATGAGCATATGTAAGAGCTTGCAAAGCCTAGGAAACAGCGGGTTGCTCTAGGGAATGGGACTGGTTGAGAGTACAAGGGGATTCCCATTTTTAACTTCATACAGTTCTATACTATTTTGTTTATTTACAGTGAGCTTGTATTATCCCTATAATTTAAATTTAATGAGCTGAAGCATTTAAATTTATAAAGACAGAAAAAAATGATGTATTTGTCTAGAGTATGTCCCCTCATCACTACCTTCAGACCCCTGAGAGCAGAGATCGTAACTTGTTCTTCTTTCACCACCATGGTTTAGTTCAGCGCCCAGCACAGCGGTGCTCAGCTAACCTTTGTCAATTAATAAATGCTCTTCTTGCCCTGTGATCTTCTAGAACAGAGGTTGGCAAATATTCTCTATAAAGTGCCAGACAGTAAATACTTCAGGCTCTGTAGGTCTCAATTCTGCCACTGGAGCTTGAAAACAGCCACAAAACATATGTAAACAAATGAGTGTGCATGTATTCCAATAAAACTATTTACAGAAACAGGTGGCGGCTGGACTGCCCTAGGGCCTGCGAGTGTCGACCCCTGTTCTAGAATCTCCTTTGACCATTCTGACATGGAGATCTTAATGCCTTCCCCAGTGTCTCTCTTCTTGAAGAATGGTTTTATTTTACTTGAATAAAATTATGAAAAGAAAACACTAACCTCTTCCAGTTGTTTGGTCTTCTGCAGAATCTGCTTGTTCAAGGAAATGACTTTATGATGATGTAGTTGGGAGGTTCCTAATTTTTCTGGACTTTCTTCAGCTGATAGCTCAGACTGCTGTGGGAAACAGATGGAAGACCCAAAGGATTTAATTAGCCCGCCCCAGTGCATTAAGACAGCCCTGTCCCTGCTCAGTCTGGGCAGAACACCACTGGGCAGCCGGTCACAACCAAGCCAGTGGGGCCCCGGGGTCCAGTGCAAACCCAATTCAGAGAAGAAGATTTTGACCCAATGACCAAAAGCCCGATCAAGAGCGTCTACGTTCCTGGCAGAGTGAACAGCATGTGCAGAAGCACAGGGATATATAACTGTGGTTAGGTTGATATCACATAAGCAATAGGTTCTCATCAAAGGGTCTCAAATAGAGGAATAACATGGTCATCTTAGTATCTTCATTAAGACCATTCTGCAGTTATTAAGAATGATGAATTGGTTCACTTTCATCAAAGTATTATAAATATATGGTTAAAAAGTTTAACCATTCGGAAGCACTTACAATGAAAAGAAACAGTCTCTCTCTCACCTTCTTCTCCCCATCCATGGGCCCATTTCTCATTTCTATTCCTCTGGTGTTCACGGAGGATAGATTTGAGAGAGGTGAGAGTTGCTGAGAGAGGCCAGGAGGAAGGTCCTGAAATTGTGTAAATGGTGAGGGGATGGAGAAGAAGGGCTGGACAGGACGTAGAGATTGTCAGGACGGTAAGTGAGCAAGGCAGAGATCTCTGGTTGGGGTGATAAGGTGAACGTCTCAACGTTACCAAGAAACCGTGCAAAGAAGGGGGCAGCTTGGTGCAGATACTGAAAACAAGCCCTTGCCTCAAGACCCCAGAGAGGGAAGTCCCAGGAACAAGAAACGAGAAGTTTGACCCTATTCCAATAGGCATCTTTAAAACACTTCTTGGGTGATCACAGAATAGACAGCTTCACTGACCAGCCAATGAACACCCATTATAACCACATTGCCTTCTTTACTGGAAGTACCCCAGTTCCAAGCTAATCTCTGATTTTTAAGCCCAAGCACAACGAAACTGTATGAATATCTGATTTCCCCTGCATGTTTGAACAGTGATCACGAGCTTCAAAGTTTTGGAAGATTTACCTCTGGTGGAAAGAGACAGAAAAGCGAGAAGGAGAAGAAACTGGATGGTACAGTCACCCCTTATCTTGGTTAAGGATTTCCCTGAATAAGTCAGAGGCACTATTAATAGAGGATAAGTTTTTTGCTGCTTAATGACTCTGGAGGTGGGAGTCAACCAGCAGGATATGGCTGCATAAAATGGCAGGAAACATCACTTTCTATCTTGTGAGCTGCTAGGCCATAAAGGAGAACTAGACATTACGAAACAGCTAGCTTTGAAACCTGGGATCTGCGGAAAGTGTCGACTAACACATTCCAGCTTATCTGAATTTCTTCAAGTCGGAGTTAACTTTTAAAATGCAATTAACTTTGGGCCATCAAGATATTTACAACCTGTAGTCAAGGGAAGGAGAACTGTTCCCGAAGATTATTTGAGAGCATTAAAAAAGGGGGGAAAGGAAAGAGCACTCCCTCTTGATTTTCAGATCACTTGTCAGAAACATAATTATAATTGACTAATTATATCTCCTCCACTTTGACTACATCATCCTGAACTATGTTATCAATTTGGCCACTTTTGTCTGTTATATATTTAGTAGCTTTCTTCTTATAGTTCATTTCAGATTTGGGTTTTAACATCCAGCTTAGATTCCTTGATACTGATTTCCAAAATGTCACTGGCATATCCTCAGAGCATTCTGCTTTACTAGCAGAATTACATAAACCCTCCATCTCATGATTCATTGATGTCTGAAATGGAATTAATTCCCCAATCATAGGAACTACCCCATGTGGTATGTCTCTATGTTTGATGTCAGGATTATCTTGAGTGCCCTGACCTCCTCTGGCTGTCTCTCTGGCTTTGGATCAGGTCAAGCTGTGGGCAAGCAGGCTCCAGGGGATTCATGTCTCGGTCACCTCCCAGGGAGACTTCCTCCGGTCTGTGGGGGTGAGGGGTGGGCACATACTCATTCAGTGCTGTCCTGCACCTTTGGCAGGAGTTGGATGATGTCTCCAACTCTTAGCATGCCCTCCTGCTGAGAAACTGCTTTTATGGCCAAGGTCCCAAAAGAATGAAAACTGCATTTCGCACCCAGCTTCCACACCCTCTTATCAGTGTAAGTGCCTGTCAACACGCACAGCTTTGTTTAAGACTATGACCTTTGACTTCACTTCCAAGAACCCTTCTTGCAGGAAAACCAGTAGCTAGCTTGCAACCTGGAAAGAGGACTTCCAGGCTAGCTGGCTATTCCTCCCCCCTCCCCCTGCCTCTCTCTCAATTTAAATTTTTAGCCACGTGGTCCCTTAAGATCCTTTCAGGGGGTTTTTGAGATCAAAATCCTTTTCATAATGATACTAGGATATGATTTTTTTTCACTCATTCTCTCATGATTGTACAGTGAAATTTTCCACCTGTTATATGACGTGTGATGGTATCACTGCTCTGATGTTACTATGTAATGCATTTATCATTGTTATTTGTAAATGAATTAATATGTAAGTTTTTAGGACCTCCTCAGTGATTTTTAAGGGTTCTTATAGGGTTCTGAAACTAAAAATTTTGAGAACCATTACTTTAAGGGGCTGGCTCTCTTGGGAATCTACTCACTGGCTGGGGCAGCCTCATTAACCCTGACTCCAGCCAATGCAGTGGGCCCACCCACGAAACTGAGAGGGGAAGCGCTTTCTGATTCCACCCTCACTAGACAGCTGCTTCAACCAACCAGAGAGAAAATACTTGTAGTGCACCGAAAGGATGCTCAAGTCTCCATACACAATTACTATTACATCTCTGTTATGACAGTGTATGTCCCAAGCAAACATGGGCTTTCAAAATCCCTTCTCTTGCTGCTAGGTGGCAATTCTCACTGCTCTGTGCAGTCCCTTAAACTTGCATCTGCAAAGCATTAATGTACACGTCAGGTTATTAAGTGCCATTTCCACATCTGACAGTTCTCCAGTGCAATTAAAATGAATAATATGCACATGAACAGGCCCACAGTACATATAAATTTGTGAATCCCTCCATGTGCCTGAGTCCAGAGATGGTGCTACGCAAACTGCTTTATTTAACGGGAAGTTATTTTTGTAACAGAAAAAAATCATTTATTCCAGAGCTGCACTGAAGAGAGTTCTTAACCTAGTCAACGGGAAGTTGATTGCTCTATATTTCAAACACACTTTTTATTAAGTCATTGAAATTTTTCATTTCTTTCAAATACCCTCCTCAAAGCCAAAAGAACTAGACCAATGAAGGCAGAAACAGGTCTGTGAAACAGTACGGCTCATCTGACATTGTGTCCACTGACAGTCACAGTGGGAAGAAAACTAAAGATCACCAAGTTGGCTCTTAAAGGATGAAACAAAGTTGGACAGATGGAGAAAGGAGAACGGGCTTTACAGAAAATCCTTGACAGAAAAAAATTAAGTTCCTGGGGTGTATTAACTGATTTTTACTTGAAAAGCCCAACATCTCTCAAAGAATGCCAACCATCTATAAATATTGCATTGTGTTTACATTAGAGCAGGGGCTAAAGTGCCAATCTAATTTTGTTCAACAATTTCAGATTAAGAACGTGCTTTCAGAACCACAGGGTGGATTAAGATGACTTCTAGTGCAGATTCAATGTTTTCTAATAATTGACAGATGTGTGCAATTTCTATTCTTAGGGGAACCAGATATAAATGTCACTCGATAATATTAGTCCAGTTCAAAATAGTAAATTCCTAAGAGAAACAAAAAAATGATTACTTTAGCTAAAACTATATACTTTCATAATGAAATAGACCCAAAAGGTTATCTACATATCAACCTTCCTAATACAGGAATCTTTCCGATGTCATCCCTCTCCCATTCCCCCACTAAAATGTGGCTACTAAGCTGTCAATAATAAAAGACCCTTATCTCATGAGGGTGCCACAAGTTCTCCAGACTGAATAGATGAACTTCAGTTTCTGGACCTTGACAAACCCTCCCACTGAAAACAAGTAAACAGACAATATAAAATATTTATTTTTTTAATCTTAAAAAAACCCCTATGCACTAGCAAGAATGTAAGAAATCCTAAAAGGCCAAAAAGTTAGTAAAAGTGGGAATCCAAGAGGTAGGTGTACCCATGGAGGCTGGCTTTTTTCTTGAGAGTGTTTGCCAAAACCAGTTGATCTCAGGCTTTGATTTTTATAATTCAACAACTGCTTTGCATAATCCTTGACACAGATGTAGGAGGAAAAAAAAAATCTGCCATGAGGTTCTGTGACAACAGATTTGCCCTTGTGCAGTTCTATAATCTAAATGTACACACTACCTGGATGGTCCAAAAAACCTACAAGCCAAGACTATGTGTACAATGGGCCCGAGCTGGGGTGTGCCCAAACGCGTGTAAGAGCAAAAGACAATCCCCTCTGGAAGAACAGAGCTTCAACTCTAGGTCTCAAAGAACTTCTACAGATAAATTTCCAAGCAGTATGAACGGACAGTCAAAAATCAAAAGCACACACGAAGTCAAAGCATCATGAGAAAAAGCTGGCAGAAACGAACAGCAGAAATGGACCTGCAAACTCACACACACGTACCCGCTCCTCCCGGAAGCCACAGAGACAAAGTGTAATCACTCTTGTGTAACGGTCCAACTTTTCTAACAAAGAAGCATCCACAGCTCTGCCTTCTCTCCTTTTCATAATAAGATGTCAGCTCCTTTCACCATCTTGGCTATCTATCCCCTGGACATACCGTAGCTCATAACCCCTTTCGAGCATTCCCAATGGAATCTGAGCACCGCAGACAGGATGGGATCATTCACTTTCCCTGATCTACACTCTGCTCCCATTAACAAAACCAGATACGTAAATGTGCTTTTCAATATTCTTGACTCTCACTAACGAAGTCCCATGAATTTCAAAGACCCATATTCACGTAAACTTGCTGGGTCTAATGCACAGTTCTGGGTCCCAAGGTGACCAATACAGTCTATCTGCCCAG